AAAGGGTGTGGCCACAGCATTCATAAAAGGCTTAGAAAATGCTGCTGAAAAAGATTTTATAATGTGAATATTGATCCACAACTTGCACTGTAGATTACTTTCACCAGGCAGTAGCTAGCTGCAATGTAAATATTCTTGGCACTTGTTTCCTCAATGTACAATACTTCTGACACAGTTTCTTTTGGTAACAATGCAATAAATAAATAAAACAAGTCTATTCCCTATTTTTTTAATTTTCCCTTTTGCTATTCTAGGCATCCAGTCTTTTGACAAGTTTAATCCCCTGTAACTGGATTAGAAATAAAATTATTTCAGCCATGGAAAAGGTGACTTCTATTTTTAGTTTTGAACTGTGTTTGTAGTGTAGCATCAAAGGTAGTAAAGAACTCTTGGTCTGCAGTTATTTGCAATAACTAGTATTCCAATAAAATGCAGAGTGAAGCCTCCAAAGGCCAATTTACTGTGATATGGGAAAAACACTGTATCAGTCTCTCAGACTCTTTGTATAATCTTGGGTTCAATGTCCATTAGTAAGAAATTTTATATTCCCTAGGAACTTATACTGTGTTCATCAATGGCCAAATATTTTTGGTTGTGTAAAATCTCATAATAAACGTGGTTGGCTGTTAGAGAAATTCAGAGCAACTTATGTGTTGCTCTGAATTTAGTGTTGACTTACAAAGGGTTAATACAGCATTTGCACAGGGAGCAACATGTGTTACAGCATCTACAATTCTGTGAAACCACAGGTGCACAGTTCCACTGCAGAGAAAAAATATTATCAGTTCTATAGACTATTGTGAAATAAATCTACCTGACTCGTATAATCAACAAGACTGCATCTCCCCAAGTAGATCTTTTTGCACACCAGTAGCAACTAAAATAGTTAGAATTCCAGCTAAATCAGAAGCTCAACAGAACAGCATTCCATACACTCACTCATGCTAGTTCAATCTTCCGTCTGTTGTCAAGGCCTGTGAACCCAACAGCAGCCTGGAAAAAAAGGTAGTTTGACTTCTGCAGTAAATCAGCCTTAAATGTCACAGCTCCCTATCCATTAAATATAAGTATTTTTATTAATGTATTCAGAAAATTATCCAGATATTAATCTATTCTTGCACTGATGTTTACTATTATAAGTATTATGTCTATTAATAACTTATAATTAACTCATATCTAACTAAACATACACACACACACACACCCCCCAGCATCTTTCATATTCTCACATTAGTGTTTTCAAATTCCCAGCCTTCCCCAAGTATCTGGACTAAAATATCAAAATCACTGAGAACTGAGGTTTTAGCACTGAGGTAACTATGGGCAAAGCACTTCATTTCTGGTCATCTAGGTCACATCTGACACTGAGGAAAGAACATTTCCTTTTCCTCTGCTTTTTGTGAACAGGACAATATGACCAATCTCTTTTTCCATGAACTGCCACAAATATGAAATCATTGCCACCAGTGCAGCTGCCCATAAAGATCAACATTATAGGTAAATCAGACTTTATTAAATCAGTTCTAAGAGAACAAAGAATGAAACTATATTCCATTATAAAATATACAAATTGACTCTTGTTTATGCATCTGAGAAACAGCAACAGATGACAGCAAATAAAACAAATTATAGCAGACAGAAGGAAAAACTCGTGTGATTGATCTATAGCACAGCCTTTAACTTCTGACCTTTTAGAAATAACTCAGGCCTGATCAGTTATAGTTTGAATACACGTATTGTCTGCAGGGCAGATTTTTCACTTGAACTCAAAAAGTGTTTGCTGTGTGGTGGGTTTTTGTGTGTACGATTTCACTGTCAAGTCACCACAGTATTTAAATGCAAGATAAAACAGAAAAACAAGAGCTTACTTAAGTTTTTCAAGATGCATTATCCATATGCATATCCTCCCATCAAAGCATATCTTTCCATGTCTGGAAGGTGGAAGAAGTCCCCAAATATCAGGAATCCTGAGGGTTCTCATGTTTTAAACTGAAGGTATAAAAAAATTAGAGCAACATCTTCCTTCCATTTTCTTTCAACCACAAAGTTCCTTGTGTACAGGGCTCCAAGGCAGATGACACAGAGATTAGGACTGCAGAATATACATACGGATAACACATCTCAAAATCCAGTTACAGTGAAGTAACTTATCAAATTCTGTTTTGAATTACTAATGCAACTATTCTTGCTCTTAGTGACCCTTCAGAATGTCTCTGATTTACCTGATAGAAGCAGAACTAGGAACTGTGGGATAGAGGACCCAAGAAGACAAAAGATATAAACATTTTAAACATCATCCTAGAAATTTAACATAATATTCAGTAAGCTGTTCAAGTCTTCAATAATAGGTTTTACAGATTCATTACAGATTTTTCCATAGCATTCTAAGTTTGATTTTGTCAGACCAGAAGTCCACAATAAAAACCTTAATTTACCTGAGCAACATAAGCAATACAAGTGATTTCAAGGTTTATCCCTGAAATTGAGAGTTTGCAGCATTCATTGACTGGATCAGTCCTTTGAAATCCACTGGGTGAAAATAAAAATTATATAGGTATTAGGTAATCATCACATCCTCTTTGCCAAAATTAATCAAATCCAGATTATTTTAGTTTTGTAGTTGGTGTGGATAGCTTTCACTTCACCTTCAGAACTATATACTGCTAGGAGACCTTAAAGGAGAATATAGTAAAAAATATTACATAAACTCATATTAAGGCATTTTTATAAAAAAAAATAATTAGACCCAGTCTGTCCAACACAGAAGTTTTAGAAAAATTAAAATTTCTTACAGTTGCTCGAGTATATTAAACATCCATCACAATATGTTTCACTTCCAAATATAGTCTGAATAGCTGTTAGAGAGGCTGGTTATTTGTGTGGTGTGCATAAATGCATTCAAAATGTGTTCTGGATAAAACAATTGGACTCTCATGCCAAGTCTTCTCATACTACTAAGAAAAGCTCAATGAAAGAAGCAAACAAAAAAATGCTTCATTTTTATACTTCCAAATTATAGTACCATAAAATTTATTTTTTAAGTATCAGCTGCATTCTGTTTTCAACAGTTGATGTGTTTATGTACAGGTACAAATTATGAAAACTATACTTATCATTCAAAATGTTGAACATTGCTGCCAGATCCTGAAACCTCAGCTTTCTAATGTTTTCTCCACCCTCCCAGAAAATACAGTTTAAAACACTCAGTGTCTACACATTTGAGTCTAGTAGAAATTAAAGGGCTCCTTTCACCATTAATACTCTGTTTAGAGTTCACTAATGCTTGAAAAAAGTAGTAAGCTAACCTCTAACATGTGTATTTATTATTTTTTTTACCAGGATGTTTGGTCTAATTCTCATTGGAGGGAAAATACAGAATTCTTGCAAATTCAGAGCTATGTCCTCCATCATCTCAATATACACAATATTTTTCTAATTTTTTAAAGCACTGTGGCTTTGCAAAAAAAATACATTAAATCAGATTAAGTATTACTTTTCTCAATTTTGTGTATTTTAAGTGTGGGCTTTTCCTACTCTAAATTTTCTGTTAATTATATTCTCTTTCTTCTGAGGACATAAAATATGCTGCTTCCACCTTTTGCTAAGAAGGAATGAGGGAACTCTTTCCTCCTCCCCTTCCAACAGATTTGATTGGCATCCACACAATCCTATGGCAGGGGCATTGGAACTAGATAATCTTTAAGGTCCCTTCCAACCCAACCATTCATTCTATGATTCCATGAAACTGACAAAAAAAACAACCAAGAGCTTTAAAGGTATTCACTTAGCCAAACCATCACTGGTTTAATAGTTCTATCTCAAGCTATTAACACAGATAATAAAATATAACACTTAACAATGTCTAGTTCTCATCTATCAAAATTGAAAGAATATTTGAGGTGTTTATGTTCTCCCTTCATGTATTCCTAAAGTAACCTCCTATTAATGGGATGTGAAGACAGGTTAAACAAGACAGAATCTGACTCAATGAGCAAAATTAGCAAAAGATACATTGATGAGGTGTCCTTGCCTCTTTGCTCTTTTCATGCCTGCTATAATTATGCCTAAAATTGCAGTTACACAGATGGGTTCTACTTAGGAAAAGCTGCTCTCTGGGAACAGCACGGATATTTTGGAGGAGGGCAAACCCACCTGGCCACTGCAAAAGAAAGGAGCAAGCTCCATGTCTTTAGATAAGCACGTCATTTTAGTTTTAGCAGTTTTTTCTTAATATATCACTAGTAATATTATACTATCTTAATCACTAAGTAATGGTAAGTAGAGTGAAAAATAACTGCAAAACAACTCAGAGGTTTCTGTTGACTGGTTGGCTCAAAGCAAAAAGCATTCATGCCTGTGTTAACAGCTTCTATTAACTTGTTTTATCCCAGGTGATTTTTTAAAGGCATATCCTTGAAAAGTAATAAAAAATCCCCCATGGAGCATATTAATCTCATGGCTGAACAAATCCAGAATGATGTCTTAAACACAAAATTTGGTCCTCCTTCCCCCATCTCTTTTAAGTATTCTTTATACTACCCCTTCCAGGAAGAAAACAGGAAACTTTGTTTCCACGGTATCACTCAGCATATGCAGGATCTATATTTTTGTGTATTACAAAAATACTTCAGAACCAGTATGGTGCTATTTGTGAGTCATTGTGGCCAGATTGTGGGAAAGAGATAGGAGAGTCACACAGAAGAGGGAGACATGCATTTATCTGAAATTAAACACTGAGACACATTTAACAGTTGGGCAAGAGAGAAGATTGTGAGAAAAGGAGCTCAGACATTTCTAAAGAAAATTATTTATTCTTACAGAGAATTTCTTCATCTGACCTTTGGCATTTTATTCTACTTCTGAAAAAAAATCCCACTCTCATTCACTACAACACTCCTGCCATCAAGTATGTCAGCACTTAGAACTAGAGGCTGGACTACAAAATCTACTAAGATTTAACGTTCCATTCTACTTTATGTCCAGTTGTAATATTTCTAGCAAAAAAAAGTGAATTTTTATCATGGCATCTGTAAACAGTGTAATACCATGACATTTAAATTAGGAATAATTCTGAAATGTATTCTCATCTATTTTTCCATGTTGTGGTTTTCAAATTATGAAAGGCATTAAAGACTAACAGATTCAAGTTTACTGGCCATAAAAAAAAATCCATTAGGAATAAATTATCATATTCTTCAGGAAGGACTTGTTCCTTCAAGTAGATTTAGTGCTGAGACAGTGTGGTAGGTGAAGTTCAAAGAGAGGCTGTTGATAAAGTGGCAATGCATAACCATGTTGTCATGTGTTATAAAGGAGCAATTGCCTGCAGTTCATCAGTATGGATATAGCAATGAAGTTCTGCTTTACAGATTCCAGGCACTAAGAATTTTGTAGCAGTAATTACAGGAGGTTCTTCTTCCCCTATAAAAGGAAAAAAAAGGAGGTTCATTAATTGAAACACTGATTTTGTATTTGATCAACATTTTAGAACCAACATAAAGAAAACTTATGAAAATCCTCTGGATCACCGTGCCATACATTCATAAAGCTGAACTGCTATGCTCAGTAACTCCATATCTAAAGAATTAAAAAACAATTTCTCCCCAGGCAGGGCTTCTTAGAGAACCCTCAAGTAGTGAATGGACCTAGTACAGGTTTGGTTGTTGGTACTTCCTCAAAATTAAACTGGTTTGAACTTCATGGTGCCCAATATGATGATTCCTTTAAGAATCTTTTCCTTGCAAATCAGTAGTCTGCACATCAACTGCACTGAAAGATAGAAAGTATTAATCATTATGCAACTTATGATTTTAATTAAAAATATTAAATCAAACTGTCCTTTACAGAAGGAAGTATCTACCCTTGCAAAATCACAGAGCTATTAATTTCTGTTCTGAGCAAGCAACAGATAAGAAATAGGTAGCCAGAACAGAAATGGTACTGTGAATTAGGAGTAAAAAATTAGACATGTCCAAACCCTTAGAACAAGAATAAAAGCAAAAAAAAATAATTCTATTTACTCCCCCATTATTAAGCATATAAATATTAGAGCTATAAATATTTTGTATGCCTGGGACAGTAAAAAGATTCAATGAGTTGCACTCCAATAGGCAGATGGTGCCTAGTTCCAGATACTGTCTCCTTTGTATCCTGCACCTACTGAGGTCTGTGATTTGGGGTGGGGGAGGTTTGAGTGACAGGTGCTTTTGGACAGGGACAGTGAATGGGAAAATGGTAGAAGTTACTGTGGTTTCTGAAGATGTTGGAACAACAGTGTTAAGATCCAACTCCTCCAGCTAGTGCCATAAAAAATGTTTAACTTCTGCAGCTGAAATACGTTAATAAGTAGGTATGTGACTTGAGAGTTAATTACTGAAAATACTGCCTCTTTCTTCCAGGAGACTCCTTGGCAGCTGGGATACCCAGCTGACAGCTCTGTGATTTAATCAGGAGGGGAATACTGGTAAAGCATTCTTACAGAGAGGCCGTAAATTTTCAACTAGCATCCAACTTTCATCTCACACTAGAACCTTTAGAGATATCATCTGTAATTTTTTCCACCAATGTGAGAAAAGGCTGTTAGAAGATGGCACGTAATTTAAAAATATAATATTTTAAAAACAATATCAGAGTATTTGTGGCTTATGTAATTAAATCAGTGAATCTGCATTTTTTCTACCTAAAAAGTTTTCAGGTTTTAGTTACTTTGTCCTACTCTATTTACCACTGTCAAAACACAATATTTACATGTTGGAGTTGCTTGAGGAAAATCTCAGTAAAGAGCAGTTTTATCCTACACTAATGTAGTTGTGATACCAGTTCAACATACTGTAATTAGCAAGGTCAGATCAGCTTTTTATATAGCCTGAGGCAATATTTTAATCTGGCTATCTATTTTGGAGAGTGACTTCCAAGCATTTAAATTCCTTCACTGAAACCCATTTGTTCGTATCTGATGAGAAGACTAATGTCATTCTGAAATTTGAGTTAACCATAGTACAGACTATATCCTTTAAGGTTCTAGTGTGTGCTGGAGCAGATCAGGATGTCAGTTTAAGATTTACTGGCATTCTGTAAGAATGCTTCACCATATCACCCTCTTGATTAAGCCACACAGCTGTCAGCTGAGTACCCCAGCTGCCAAGGAGTCCCTGGAAGAAAGAACCTGTCTCTCCAACTCAATGTCCATAAAGAGGAAGTGATTTATTTATAGAATTTTAGTGAAGTCTTACTTAGCTAAGGATCCAACCCCTAATAAGTTAAGAAAAAGATTCCTTTTTCTAAAGTTAAGGAGATCTATCTTTTAAACCACCTTTATATACTGCTGACATTCTTCTGCAGCCTTCCATATGGCTCCTCACATATTAAGTATTTTGAGATGGTATAAATATGCTCACAATAACTGAATATAATTTTTAAAACTGCTGTATCTTACCTAAACCTGATGATGAAGAAACACTTCCTGTAATGGAAGATGTTTCAGTTTGGTCTGTCAATAGTCCTTCCATCAAAGGTAGAGATAATTCAGATGAAGGAACAGACGAGTCATAGATTCCGGAATCTCGAGGCGTATCTTTCAGATTTGAAGCTTTAACAACATGTAACAACGGCTGAAGAACAGAGCTGCCACTACCTTGAGTGTCCTCAGTTTCTATATCTTCTCCAAGGTTTAAGTGCTGAATTACACAGCGAGAGTCTGAATTCCCTGCTGAAGTAATATTTACATCTGTTTTCAGGTAAAATTCACCATCCATCACCTGTTTATTCACCAAGTCATTTAAAACTAAACCCGAATCAAATTTTTCCATTGCAGGCTCTGAGTAATGTAAAGAAGGTGGAGGAAAAGGAATAAATTGTTTCTCAAACCAATCTGGTTCCTGATCAATGAACTGATGCATATTGCAAATGGCAACATAAAGTGACCTCCCAGATTTGCTCCTGAAATAATTTCTTTTACTAATGTTAACAGGAAACACCTCTGAATCCTGCACACTAAGATCTCTGGAGTGTAAATGTGAATACAGCTGAGGGAGATTGTCCATGAGTTTGTATTTTGTACTTAGATCCAGAATACTGGGGATGTCTCCTTCACAGGAGTAATCAAAGTAGACTGCAATGAACTTGCAGAGGTCATTTGAATTCTGCTTTGCTTGGCGAAGCTTCTCTGCAACAGTCAGCACAGCAAACAGGAAGAGTTCTCCTTTCCCTGCATCTTTGGTTACCCCTCTGTGTTTCCAGTTCTTCTTGTCAACAAAGTATTTCATTCCCTTGGAACACACAATGATGACAAACTGGGACTCATTTATTGTTTTAATAAGCCACTCTTTCTGACCTTCTTTGCAAATTTTTAGATCTTCCCACAAATCTAGAGCCACCTGGAAAACAAAACATTCTGGTTGATATTATTAGATTACTACATATATCTGCTAATAAAATTTAAATGTTAGTGAATCAGCTTGTATTTACCCAACAAATGAGAATGAATTATGAATTTAACTACAGCTTGACCCTGATGGAAATTTTTAAAAAGATAAACAAATAATAATTAACATAGCACCGATAGTGGATAAACCACAATCAATGATTTGTCATTCACCAAAAAAAGCAAAGCTTCACATTCAATCTAATCTTTGCTTGCAGGTTGCATATTTCACTAGACTAAGGAAGTGGACAAATTGCTACAGGAAATAGGAAAACCTTCCAGACTATTTGGTTTTTTGTTTAAAAAAGAATACTAGTTACTATATGAACACATTTTTCTGCTCTGAAAAATTTATCATTAAATGTGTTTCATTTTGTACTTGATCAAAGCTTCTGAACATTCTACATGATTTGAAATGCCTGTCTCGCCTGCTAACATCAGAAAGGATTTTTAGTATGGTCGAGTTATTATTTTAAATGGCTACTAAATGCCAGTTTTTAGTTCTTATGAGAAAACATTCCAATTCCATATGAAAAATACTTGTGCAACTGTTCCGTTGTACACAGAGCATCACTTCTTATATTAAATGCCACAGCTTTAATAACAACACATACTATTTCTGTCTGTAGATGTCATGTATATGACTAATATTTAGTCATATAAATATGAAATTATGCCTCATACCATATGCTGCATGGTACATAGGTACAGCAGTAAGAGCTCACCATAACACTATTCCAAAGAGGTATGGTGTAGCAGGGCTAAAGTACCTCTCTATAAAAGGGATTCAAGTAAGTTACTTACTAAACACTTTACGGGAACTATTCTAAACATGAATAAATGGTGACCACCCTCACCAAACATGAGGCATCGATTTGTTACTGTGCTTACTGTGCTTGGCCACTAGAGGCCAGACTTGCAGTTAAAAAAATACGGTGGCAGGATTAAAACGCAGCAAGAATTGACTAAAATTTCTTGCCCTTTTACAGTTGAAAAGTCAAAGATTGGCCATTTCAGAAAGCAGTCTGAGATTCTAAGCCTCGTCTTTCAAAGTAACAACTTGAATGTCTCTCTCACAGCTTTAAATCACAAACAAGACATGCTGATTTTATAGCATTAATGGAACAGGAGGGAAGTAAAAATAAATTTAAAAAATCAATAAAAATTAATACATAATGCCAACAATTAATCCTAATTACACATATTTTGTTCTATGAGAAGGGAGTTTTGATAAGATTCAACTACTTTCAAATTACAATATAAAAAATATTTTAGGAGTACTTGAGTATATCAGGGTAGATACCAACAGCTCTCTGTGGCTGCCGACTATAAAGATGTAAAACCTGCTACACAAAAAGCAGTTAATCCAGAACAAGCCAAAGATAGCTGAATGAATGTTCCAGAATCAATGTAGTACATATTTTCCACTACTCTCTTTTTTAAAGTGGGCTATGATCTGTTCCTTT